AATGGAACCTGGTGGAATGAATCAGGAGTGTGAAGGAGACGATGCAAGAGGGAGCGCACCTCTAACCAATATCCATGTCCCGAGGCGCATTCAGCACAACGGTGACCTCCGGAAAACACGCGGCTGCGTGTGGTAGAGAACCTGACAGAGGTTAGGACGACAAAGAGCACAGAAAACGCGTAAAATACCTCGGCCCAATCGCAATGAATGCAAAGAGCACGGTCGCCGTCGACAAGGGCGCCATCCATCTGCGGCCGCTTAACCGCACAACCACAACGAGCCGAAGCAAGAGCAGTCAAGAACGGGGAGGACAAGCCCTCGAATTCAACGGCAAGTACCGTTCGCTCTTATAAGGGTATCCGGCAATCACCGAGTTGTACGTAACTTAATTGAGTCACGTCAAGACGCGTCTTGTCTCTCGATATTCTCTTCGCCGTAGAGTTCATGGGACCGGCCCGCTATGGGTGTCAAGTCGCTGTGGAAGCTCCTAACGCCAGTTGGCAGACCCGTAATGTCGGGTTCTCTAGCCGCTCTTACTCTCCGTGACTGAGGTGTTGGATTAGGCTCGAGACCATGGAGGGCCAGATTATGGCCATTGACTCGAGCATATGGATCTACCAATTCCAGGCCACCATGCGCGACAACGATGGGAAAGCACTCTCAAATGCGCACGTCCTGGGCTTCTTGCGGCGAATAGCTAAATTGTTGTTCTACGGGATCAAACCTGTCTTTGTTTTCGACGGAGGCGCTCCCGCTTTGAAGAGAAACACCCTCGTAGGTTTCATTTCCTTATTCTCTGGAATTTATGTTGATTTGTCGTCCCCAGAACGAGCGCAAACGCAAAAAGACTGGAGCGGCTTTGAGTCATGTTAAACTCGCTGAAAAGCTCCTTGCGGCTCAGCTGAGGCGAGCGGCCGTAGATCAGGCCAAAGGTCCCCAGTATGTACTGCGCTCTTCATCTACCATACAGGGCCTGACATTTCGAGCAGGAAACCCGCCAAGGGCAAGGGCAAAGCACCGACCGGCCCTGTTGTACTTGACGATAATACCGTATATCTCGAAGACATTGACACCTCAATGCCTAAGGCATCTCCACGAAAACCGACCGAAACCCCGTCGGGATCCCCTAGCAAGCCCAAATTCCACGACCATGACCCATATCGCCTTCCAGACGTCGACCTTGAGGCCGCCGTTGCAAAGGCAACTCGTGCTCCAGTCCCTGATCCGCGCTTAGCCACTGAGGAGGAACTGCGCGACTTCATAGAAGACATGCGTCCCGAAGACTTCGATGTCACCTCGGCTGCCTTTCGTGAGCTTCCGACTGAAGTCCAGTACGAGATAGTCGGTGACCTGCGGCTCAAATCGCGGCAAACATCGTACGCACGGCTGCAAAACATGCTCAAAAGCGCTCCTACGCCGCTCGACTTTTCGAAGCAGCAGATTCTGAATCTGAAGCAACGAAACACTCTGACGCAGCAACTCCTCATGACCACCGACAGCATTGGGAAAGCCAACCTCGCGATTCCTGTCCGCGTTGCCAGTGAGCGCAACAGACAGTACCTCTTGATAAAAAATGAGGGCAAGGACGGTGGGTGGATCCTTGGTGTTAGAGACGACGGGGGGTCACGAGAAAAGCCGATTGAAATTGACCAAGACGAGAAGAAAGAGGTGCCAGAGGACGACAGCGATGAAGATATGGAAGAGGTTCCCATGTTCGTGGGTTCTTTTACTCGGTACTGCAGCGCTGATTCTGAGATACCTAGACCTTCCGCTGGTATGCCAGATCCCGACTTGCAGGAGTTTCAGAGATCTATGAATCTTGCAGCCATCGCCAATCGCCATGCGAAACAACATCCACTGCCTAGAAAGCCTGCGGCGGCTCCAGTCTCGCAGCCGCTCTTTAATCCTGACAGCGACATGGCTCCGGTATTTGACGACGACGACGATGGGGAGCTCGCTCTGGCGATTCAGCAATCTATCGAACCAGACCACACTGTTCCTATAATTGACGATGAAGATGACGGGGACCTCGCTCTTGCCATCCAGGAATCCATTGATCAAGCAAAGACGGCCCCTGCGCCAGTGCGTCCGCAACGCCCTGTGCAGGTCAACGCCGTTGCGTCGTCCTCCAAGGCCGTTGACACGACGGCCCACAGGCCGTCCGAGTCTGCCCCTCATTATTCCCACTATGCCGAGGATGCTTTCGTCCGTGGAAATCGGCTGGAGACGGCGTTGTCTATTGGGAACGCGGGTCCTGTGCGGACGCCGATGAAATCCAGCCTCACGCCTTCTAAGCCTTCAAGTTCCTTGTTTGGTGAGGCGATTTTGCTACAGGCTAAGACCCCGTCGCCTGCGAGAGTGCCACCGTCACCTTCGCTTCTATCAAAGCCCATAGTCCAACCTGCAGAATCTAGGCTTCGATCCGATAGCAGTGGGAAGGAAATGGCTCCGGAGCTGCGGGCGGACGCTGGACCATCCATGTTTGGGAAACCCATCTCGTTACAGCCTCGGACCTCCACGCCTTCGCCCTCGCCCGCTCGAGTCCTCATCAAATCTCCTCATGTTTCGGATGAAGTGGACATGGAGGAAGTATTCCCTCCCATAGGAACTAGCACAGTCGCGTCAGTACAGCCTGAGTTGCCTGAGCTGGACGACGAAGCTACTGCGTTAACACCACCACCATCTACACCCCCACGACCTCAATCTGTGCCATCGGTCATTGAGGTTGATGATACCACCCCATTACTTGTCAGCAAGCCTCTATTGGTACTCAGGGACGATGATCCCTTCACAGTCGTACCCGACGAGACTTCGTATAGCGACCTCGTAGAAGTTTCCGTCCCCGGAACGCCTCCATTTTCAAGACCGGACGTGGAAGAGGACGACGAACCACTCAGCGGCTGGTCGAGGTCCCCCTCGCCAGTTATTGGGATAGATCAGCCCCAACCGCGAGCGCGTTCGCCTGTTCCCGAGAACTGGGACGCTGCGCAGGAGATGGATCCGGCCGCTGAAGAGAGTGAATTCGCGCAGTTCATGTCGCAAGTGAAAGGCAAAGATTTAGACGAGGTCCAGCAAGAGATCGACGACGAAATCAGAGTCTTGAACGCGCAGAAGAAGGCGGCCATGCGCGATTCGGAGGACATCAACCAGCAGATGATATCGCAAATCATGGTGGGTGTTTTTTATCGACTTGAAGTGAAGACGATTTCCAAACAACTACGAGTAGATGATGCTGAGTTTATTCGGCATCCCGTATATCACTGCACCGATGGAGGCTGAGGCGCAATGCGCCGAGCTCGTCCATCTTGGCCTCGTGAACGGCGTAATCACCGACGACTCTGATGTCTTCCTCTTTGGCAGCCAGCGGGTCTTCAAAAACATGTTTAATCAGTCGAAGACGGTCGAGTGCTTTCTCCTCTCTGATCTGAGCCGCGAACTGGGTTTGGATCGGGATACGCTGATTAGACTTGCATACCTGCTTGGTAGCGACTATGTTGACGGACTTCCCGGCGTCGGGCCAGTCGTCGCGATGGAACTGCTCGACGAGTTTCCCGGAGAGGATGGGCTGCACAAATTCAAGGACTGGTGGACGAAGGTGCAGTCTGGGAAGGACAAGCCCGAGGACAATAAATCTAAATTTAGGAAACGATTTGTGAGTGTTTCTCTCTGGTTTTCTTTAACGTTTTGTATTCACGAGATCATTGTAGAAAAAGAAATTTAAAGATCTCTACCTTGCTCCGGAATGGCCCAATCCGACCGTAGTATGTGTTTATGTTCACCCGCAAGGCGGTTGTTTGACATTGTGCAGCGAGACGCGTATTACCATCCTACCGTCGATTCGTCGGACGAGCCGTTTAAATGGGGATTACCTGACCTTGATGCTCTCCGAGAGTATGCGACATGTGTCCCTGTCATTTTCGCTGTCTCACTTTGTTGCAGGTTCCTATACGCCGAGCTGAGCTGGTCCCCGGTCAAAGTAGAAGAGTTATTACTGCCTGTCATTCAGAAAATTCGCAAGCGTGGACAGGTAAGCTCAAATAACCACCGTTCTCCGCCATACGGCTCACGTCTCCGTAGACTGGTGCATTAAACAAGCAGGGCGACCTTAATGGCTACTTCGATATAACTGGCAGCGGCACTGTTGCTCCTCGCCAACGTCAGGCATACGCGAGTAAACGTCTACAGCAAGTCGTATCCGATTTCCGCAAGAAACGAAAACATAGCTCCAAATCTCCCGCTATCGAGACCCCAGAGGAACAGCATTCTCAGTCAGAAGACGATGTTCCTCCCAAGAAGAAAGCGAAGGCGGGTGCAGCTTCCAAACGTGGTACTGGTCGTTCCCGTGGGCGCGGTGCCAAAAAGAGCTCAACTCGCAAGAAGGCGGTGTCTGAGGACGAAGCGGAGTTTCAAGGAGACACAGTGGACGATGAGTTGGGCCCGGCGCAGGCGGTGAAATTACGTCCAAGGCCGAAACCTGCGTACAAAGGAGCTGCAGCGGATGCGGGATCTATTGAACAGTAGACGCTCTTCGTTCAATACGGACTAAGCCTTGTGGTGTGCTATGTACTCGATAATTGAACTAAGACCGGAAAGGGTAATTCAGGAGACATCCTACGATTGGCAGTGTACATTGGGTGCGCGACAAATTTCCGCGGAGCGGCGCGTGAGTTTGGTACACAGCAAATTTCCGCGCAGCGGGGTCGGGGATAGGTGCGCACTGCGTAGGGACTGGCGCACCGTACCCAAACTCTGATCCTGAGGCTCTAGCCTTCCAAAGCTTTAGTACCTCAAGGCGCGGCGCTTGTGTGCTTTATAGCCACTATCATCGTACTCACACAGCATGGCGCAGCTGGAAGCGCGCGAGGATTTGGCAGTGTAGATTTTGTCCACTCGTAGCAACGTTTTACGCTGGCTTCAAGGTGCGCGACTTGTATGCTTTATAGCCTATGGCGACACATAGCGCAGACATATATGATTGATATCGTAGTACTTATACATACAGCAGCATGGCGCAGCTGGAAGCGCGCGGGGCCCATATCGTCGGTTATTACGTAATCACGGGGAACCCCGAGGTCACTCGATCGAAACGAGTTGCTGCTATTTTTTCTTTTGGTTCTTTTGTTATCGCATACATTATCTTTTTCGTCCAAGTCCAACATTTAATTGCCTCTCCTTACAATGCGCCTACAAGCTCTCGAGAAATTCAAGCCCTCAGTATTACAATTGTCACCTCAAGAGACTATTTCTTTTAAAAAAGGTAGCGACCCGAACACATTATAGAGGCCCCTCCTCTTCAATGACTGCCCATATTGGCGTGATCAGCGATAAACTGACATCAATGGCACCTGCATCCCCTCCCGTGGCTATTTCTTCTGTGGGCAAAAGATAAACCAATCCATCCACTAGCGAGCTCTGCGTAAATGGCGGCGAAGCCAAGACAGGTGCAACGTCGAACACCGAGCCCGCATACATGTCAAACTTGTTCCACTGGCTAAGCATGAAGCTTCCGTTCCCGTATCGGAAGTGTTCGTCAATTTTTCGTGTGTCCTGCTGGGCCGCGATCCACTTGAGACTGCGGTCGATTTCGTCTTTTGAGCTCAGGAAGCTCGAACGCGTTAGGTCGTGCACGGCCTTGGCAATCTGCCAAAGCGGGCCGGTGGCGAGAACGTCGGGTGGGATGGTAGTGTGTGATGCGAAAAGGGCGTTTGGAAAATAGCGTGCGGGGAGCCCGAGGCGGCTGCGGAGATCGACGGGAGTGAGGAAGTCGGTAGGAGAGAGTGCTCCAAAGTTGGGATCTCTGGCACTCAAGCGCAGCCGGGCCTGATGGACGCGCTGGTAGATGTACGCAGACAGTGCGTCGAAGGTCGATATCCAGCCCGCGCCATTAGGATCCGTCGCCTGCGCTTTGAGAGCAGCCAGCCGAGCGCTAGAAAAGCGGACAAAACGTCCTTCGACAGGATAGGGAGGCGGCGGGTAGATGGTGACGGAAGAGGGGTCTATTACGGTTGTGCTTGCGGGCGGCTCTGCATGAAAGAGCGGTGGTTGAAAGTCGAGAGCCGCTTGCCGTTCTTCTGGCTCAATGTTACCACCGACCAGCTCCGACATGTAGGGCCGGATATGGGGAGGGCGGAAGGGGACGGGATCGCGGTTCTCGGAAGATTCGAGGCCGCGATACAACTCCGCCAGATCGCGCGCCAACTGGAAGAATCCAAGCCCGTCTGAAACCGTATGGTGTACCCGCACGCCTAACGCAACGCTGCCGCATTCGAAACGCGTACGCTGAACAGCGAGAATGGGAGCACCACAAGCGCCTTCTGGGGTTGGGTCAAATGGCGCCAGTAGCGCGTTACCAGCAGCGGGTAGGTCCTGCATCAAGATACGGCGCGATGCAGGGGACGTGGAGTTGGGAGAAGAAAATGCATCCAACCGCTCGCTGCACTGGGCCTCGACAAGTTCAGCGCCCGTCCCCAGATGAATTATCTCGCGCGTTCCGTCGGTCGACTTGACATGCAGGCGCCCGGTGAGTTGGGGATAATGGTCGAGAAGCAGTTCCAAAGCGCGTCGAAGGCGCTCGACTGGGATTAGCTCGATGTTGGAGCTCGGTTGCGCGTAAACCCAGACAACCTGGATCGGTACGAAGCCTGCGACTTGATCGAAAGAGCCGAGGCGAAATGGCGAAGCGAGTGCTTTCCATGACGACTCTTCGGCAGAGAGCACTGTGTGCCGTGAAATAACGCTGACAGAGTCCGAGGATGTGTTGGCCATTGGTGTAGATGGAAGTTGCTGGCAAGTCAACACCGGCTTCAAGTCTTTTTATAGGGGTCCTTAGAGTCAACAACGGCTCCGAGTCTTGTCGTGAGAAGTTGAAGTAGCCGTAGAGGGCAGAGCTTCAAGCCGACGTCTCCGTTGAGATAGCAGATAGAAGACAGGCGGTGGTCCAATAACACATAACTCACAGGAACCGAAATTCCCGCTACCGTCTTAGAGAGCCCGATTTAGCAGTAAATCACAGTTTTGTCGTTGATTTTCACGTCAGCACTGATCTGTCGGACCCGTGGCGGACCGAGTTCATTTCGTTGAAACGTTGATGACTCCGATCAGCAACTTGCCCGATCGCTGCTCTTCTCTCGGACCGTCATCTCGCTTTAACAGTCCGAGGAACAAGAGTCGTTAGCCGGAGAATTACACTCAAAAAATATTCAACTGTACTGGTAGCGGGCCGTGCCGCTTGTCGGCCTTACCAGCTTTATAGGGTGGTGGTTCAAGCGACGTCTCCGTTGAGATAGCAGACAGACTCCAATATAACACAACTCACGGGGACCGAAATACAGCATCTTCGGTTGGACTTTCATTCGGCTAGATCCGGGAAAGCGCTGACTAAGAACTAATAGTTTGTAAGAGTAGAAAGGCAAATCTTACTGCAGAGGCTCTCCCTTCAAAAATGGTGAGCGTGTTTATTTCTCGAGAGAGACAAAACTGACAAGAGTGGGATTTGAACCCACGCCACATTACGTGATGAGAAACCCCAGTATCAGCAGGGAAGCCGTTACGCTTGAGTCACACGCCTTAACCACTCGGCCATCTTGCCGCGATGCCAGGTTCTCTACTTGTACCGTCAATTCATTAACAGCTTCAATTTTCACTCCTCGTTTGCGAAAAGTGTCAACAAAACGAATACGAAAAAGGGAGGCGGTTCAAACTGCGTGTTACGACCCGCTCCTCCACAAGTTAAAACTACTATATTGGGACCGTATCGGTTGTTTGCCGCTGTTGTATGCTTTCAGGTCGAAGGCAGTCGCATAATGTTCGGTTCGACCGCTTGATCGCAGGATACACTCCATTCCAGACTAAGATTGAAATTCGAGCAAGTAAAAGCACAGAGAGAGTGATATGTTATGTATGTATGATTCGTGCGAGGTTGGATGCATTAGGCAATACATAGTAGCAGGATTGGATTAAGAGAATAAACAGACCAAGATTTATGAAATGCCGCAAGGAAAAAGAAAAAAATAATAACGTTAAATGAAAGTTGGTCGTTAGTCGTTACACCCGCTTCACGGGCTCAGCTCCTCGGGATAGGGCGTCGCACTCGCCCCCATCATCTGCCCATGGACGCGGAATCGGTAGAGGCACGTAAACGCGTCGTTGCCCCAGTTGTTCTTCACCACCAGCGCCACCACGCCAAAGTCGATCCCCAGCGCCTTGATCTCCGGGTCGACGGGGAACGTCTGGATGTGGTTCTCCGCGCGGATGTCGTACCGCATCGTCGCGATGCGGATGTACTCCACTGACCGCGGGGTGAGGAGCTTCGGCCGTACCGGCTCGTCTTCGAGCACCTCCCCGTTCTCCCGGCGCTGCGCCCGGTCCGCGCGCCACGTCTTGAGCTTGGCGACATTATCCGGGCCATCGATGAGTCCCCACACTTCCATCTCGCGCGGCGCGCTCCCACGCGTGTACGGCGCCACCTCGCCCGCGACGTGGTCGATCGTGATGTCCTCGATGTACACCGGCGCGGAAAGCACGACCCCCAGCTGGCCTTGCGAACCCGCGAAAGGCCAGCAGTGCCCGTCGTGGACCTCGTGATGGATGGCAGTGACGGGGGGACGGGCGATGCCGTAGCCGTTGCCGGTGACGAGCCCGACGATCTTGCCGCGCATCGTAGACGGGCGCAGTTCGTACGTGGGGCTGGTGAGGGAGGGGATGACCATCCCGCCACTGGAAGAGAGCGCGTAATCCCGACGCGCGAGGTTGTCCTTACCGTACAACCCAACGGCCCGGCCGACGAGGTCAGCGATGACGCCGGTGACATCCTGCCCGTCGGAGCTCTTGATGGTCATGCCAGACTTGCCCGACTTCCACCACGGCGAGCCTGCTTGCGAGGCTGGGCCCTTCTTGGTCGCCTCGAGCGCCTCGCGCACGCCGCCCTCTAGCGATTTGAAGCGGCCCTCGAGCGCTTTGAGGTTCGCCCTTGCCTCTTCATCGGTCCCCGCCCCTCCGCCACCAGCACCTCCACCTTGATGGATGCCCTCCACCAGCGCCTGTAGCCCCACCAACTCCTGCTTCAAGCCCTTGATCCCCAGCCCCGCCGCATCCCGTACCGCCGCCTCCGCCTCATGCGTGCGCACGGTCTCCTTATCCACCTTTGTCTCCAACGCGCCCAGCTTCCCCACCACCTCCGCATGCACCCGCGCCTCCTCATGCACCTTGGTCTTTATCCGGTCGAAGTCCAGTACCAGGCCTGACAGCGCCGTCTCCATGCGCTGCAGATGTTTGGTAATCTCCGCGACGTTCGCCGCAGGTGCGGGCGAGGGCGTATACACAGTGTTGCCGCCCCATGGGAGCCGCAGGCCTAAGTCCGGCACGGTGCGCAGGGCGAACAGCGCGACGCCCAGGATGACGGCGTATTTGAACAAGGGACCGACGGGGCTGCGCGCTGCGAGGCGTGCAGGCCGTATGAGCATGACGTCGATCATTGTGCCCAGCACCTTCCCGAAGAGCAGGAAAATGGCGTGGAAGAAGGTGCCGATAAAGGCGCCGAGTGAAGAACGGCGGGAGCCAGTGGAGGACGGGCCCCGGGAACGCGAACGGGATCGCGCTTTTGGTGGAGCAGGGATATCTTCGTCCTCGACTTCGGGTATTGAGTGCAGACCCTGTTCGGCTTCTTCGAAGGACGTATCGGGATTGAGTTGTTCTGGTTGTTGGGACTGTCGCGACGGGGGCGCGGAGCCTCTGGGTGCGGATTGCTGAATGAAAGTTAGTTAGCTATTGAACGGATCCCGAGACGTTGAGCTAACCTTGTCGGTGCCATGCGAGTCGCTATCCGAGCCTCCTTCTTCTACCTCGCCTGCATTGCCCTTGCTGGCTCTCTTCGCCTTCTTCCTCCTCTTATCATAGCCAGCGACTGGTAAAGAGGTCAACGGCCCGCCCGTGGGCTCTTTCTTCTTCTTCTTCCGCCGCTTTTTCTTGCCATCGTCGTCAATGAAATCCTCATCGTCCGACTCGACATCCGACGTTGATGGCTTGTACGCCTTGTTGTCTGTGGACATGCGATTGCGCTTGTGATTCGCGGCAGCACGCTTGGCCTGGCTCTGGATATCCCGCTCCTCTGCGGAATAGTCGTAGCTGTTGTTGACTGCCACCGGCTCGTCTGGCTCACGCGAGCGCTGACGAACATAGTAGGTGGCAGCGGCGGGTGCATTGATGATAGCGCGTTTAGCAGCACCAATGACCTGGTCGAACGGGCTCTTTCCGCGGCCGTTCTGCTCTGGCGCAGGGTCGTCCTCACCCTCCGAGTCGGGCACGTGTCGGAAGGATGCGGATTTGGAGAGGGGTTTTGAGCGGGCGGTTGAGGAGGGCCGAGACTGGATTCTGCTGGGGGGAGCCGCGAGCCTGCGCGTACTGGTTGATTGTGTTTGTGATTCGTACTCGACGGAAGTACTGCGTGGGACGGTTGTTCTTGTTGAACCCGAGGCCCAGGCGCCGTTTGGGGTCTGCATGTCTGTCGCGGCCTGGTGGAAAGCGGCAGCGATGTTGACCGAGGTGTCCTTTACACTCCACTTCTCTGGGTCGAGTGACGGCTGCGATTCCGACGAGTTTTGTCTGATAACTTTGGGGGGTGATCGGGAGCCTAGAGTTGGTGCACCGTAGGCGTATGAAGTATGTGAATTAATGCGTGATGACTGTTTCGAGGAGTAAATCATAATGGCAGAGAAGGGGCGGAATTGGTTGAACTGACTTGTGGTTTGCCGAGAAAAGTAGCGTGATCTCTCCTTCTGCCTTGCCCAAGAGGTGTGCCAGCAAAGGACATGCAATACCAACGTGTGTAGCAGTGGGTGTGTCGCGGTCAGGAGTACAAAGATAGATGTCCGCAACTTGAACGCGCGCTTTCGGTGCGTGTTTGCGTCTGTTTGCACGCCAGAGAATACAAGACACAAGGTCATTTATCTGGAACAATGGCCAGACAATGCCACCCGTTTTTCTTACTGCCTATTCTCTGGTCTGTATTATTCGATTCCCTCGTCCCTATGCCACCCGATCGACTCCATTCAACCCTTTTGCAACCCTGGTTGAAGTTGTCACGTTGTCACGTCACGAATCCGCACTTGGACCACACGTGATGGCATTCTTGTTTTCAGTTCAAGTCAAGTTCAAGTCCCGCTCAGGAACACACGTGTGATTAATTTTGCTCTTGCCATGGCGGCGGGTCGACTTCGCTCCGTCCAATTCGCCGATAAGCATGTCTTCTCAGTTCTGTGGGTCCTCTTCACACCAACATCTCCGACTACCAAGCTATTGGTACTTTGCATACATATCCCATTAAAAGGTTTTAGATTAGTATTGGTCTGTCCTTGCAGCCTGTATTCAGAGAATTCGGTCCGCCTGCGCGTGGTACATATCCGCATACTCCCGACACCCACCGCTCTGCAACGCCTCCTGCATCAGTTCTGTGTGCGTGCCTCGCTGCACAAGTCTCCCTTCTTTCATCACCCTGTCATTTCATGTCAAACAAACACGAAACCGGCGCACAGGCTGAACCTCACAAGATAATATCTGCCTCCTTGACCAGGTCCCCGAATCGATGCGTCACAAAGATACGCGTCGTCTGTCCTGCGCCCAGTTCCTTCATGTTCCGGAGGATGTCCCGCTCCGCGCACGAATCCACCGCACCCGTTGCCTCGTCGCACACAATCAGCCGCACGCGGTCTTTGCGCTGCAGTAGGCGCGAGAACATGCGGGTCCTGCACCCAACGTCAGCCAAGGTTATACTTCAGTCCAGGAAAAGCCACCAACGCTGCCAACCGCTGCTTCTCCCCCCCAGACACCGGCGTCGGTAAAAAGCTCGGCCCATGCGCCTCCAGCTCTCGCATCGCCGCGTCCGACACGTGCCCAATCCCACACCCCTGCATGCTCTGCGCCGCAACCGCCGCCGGGTCCAGAATCGTATCGTACTTCAGCGGCAGCCGCTCAATCAGGTCCGTCGCGCGGCCCATGTGCGCCGCCGCCCTGAGTATCTCCGCGTCCGCCTCGATGTCGCGGCCGCGGCCCATGAGCATGTTCTGCCGCAAAGTGACCGGGTACATCTCCTCATCCTGCGAGAGACACGCCATCGCACCACGCAGGCTGTCGAGATCATACTCTGCGAGCGGCTTGTCGTCGATGAGGATCTCGCCGGCGGACGGCTCCCGGAGTCCGGGGAGGAGAGATAGTAAGGAGGATTTGCCTGAGCCATTGGCACCGACGACGACCGCCAGACTTCCGGCAGGGATTTCAAAGTCCACGTCGGACACTGCGAGTGGTGCTCCTTCGCGATGTCTGAACGACACATTCCTGAACAACTTTCAGCATGTGTAAGCTCAACCATCACAAAACACCTACCGAAAAGTGATATTCATGCCCTTCGTGCTCGACCATGGGCGGGGATACTCAGCCGTCCCGCGATTCAGCTCGCTCTCGAGCGCAACAGCCTCATACAGCCGCTCCGCCCACCCGAGGACCTCAAGCAGCGTGTCCGGCCCCCGGTCCCCTCTCAGCATGCGTATGCTCTCCTTCAGCGTCGTACTCGCGTGCTGCACTAGCACCATCGATACC